GGCACGAAATCGCCTCTCTCTCTCTCTCTTCCTCTCTCTCTCTCTTCCTTTGGTAAATATACCAGCCGCAATTATAAGACAGGAAAGAAACCATCCATTGGATTTCGATACATCGAAATGCTTTTCGGAGCATTAATTCCTTCATATGCTCGCTATTTCACCAATACTTCTTCTCAATACTTCTTCTTCTTTTTCTTCTAGAAGAAAAAGAAGAAGAAAAATAAAAAGAAAAAAGGAAAACCGATTAATAAACGTTACGCATTAAATTTTTCCTAACTCAATGATCTATATCGAACGATCTGATATTTACGTATTCCATTCGATCTCGATATTCGGTAAGATTGACTCAAAGTATGCTTCTATTTTAACTCCATAATCGCTTATTTTCTGTTTCCACACGGCAGTTTCCGCATGCGGATCAATGAAGTGAATGTTGGTTTCGGACCGCTTGCTCATAAGAGAGAGAAAATTTTTAGGAAATGTATATAGTTAAGTCCACCTTTTCGATTGCTCTATCGATTTTTCATTTCAGAGATCAAATTATCCAATTCATTCGAGATAATTTTAATTGAAATCGCTCGATGCGAATCCACCCTTACGTATTTTATGATCGAGCCACTGTAACGGACATTTAATTGCGCATTTATGAAAGTTCAACCTGTCGTATTCGCCTTTCGCGTTTAATCTGCAAACCAGGTCATCGAATATTGATCACAAGTAGCCTCGCGCGCTCCTATGATATTTGCCGTCGAATAGGACGTTAACGCACGACGACTTTATCGTGCATTTAGTTGATAACGCCGATGTAAATCCTATTTTCGATAGAAAATATAAATGAGTAAGATGAAAGGAGAGCAAATATATATTTGATTTCGTTTACATCCAGCGGAAGCCAAGCCGTGAGTAAAAGCGAACCATCGTAAAAATGAATTATTACGTCTAATTCAACTTTCAAAAGGACACTGCTTGACATTAGTTTCACACACGTGTGTTCCTACGCCCGTTATTATATTTATTTGTGCCTTTGCCGCGAGAAGACATGGGTGCGGATCGTTCTCTTCACGATTATGATGGATTATTGTCCTCTGGTTCAAAATGCAAATTCCGCATGAAATTGAAATTGTTCTAAGATAACTAAGAATTCAATGTAGGAGGATTAATTCGTTTCGGACAAGAGTCTTCGTAGATTTTACATTATTTCCCGTAGCCGATAAGCAGATCGAGATTCCGTAGGAAATTCTCGGAAGAACATTAGGTCGCGGAATAGAAAGTCTATTACACAGGCATTTAATGATACAATTCGATCCAACGAGATTTGTATCTCTATCTTCTCCCCTCGTGCTTATCTCTTATCGTACTTATTTCTGATCCAAAAATAATTTAATGGTCAAAATAAAAAGCACTATTATTTGTGGTATAATACCGTGGAATTTCGGTCACTAAGTTATGAAACAATAAGAATCTATTCGTTAACGCTGAAGCGTAGCCGTCTGTGATATACTCTCTGTTTGTGATATAAAAGAGTCGACGAAACATCGATCGCGATCAACTCTGTGACTTTCTTGGCCGATTAGGTATTAGAGAATGAGTTTAACGAATAATTGAATTTTTATTTCGGATGAGAGGTATCCTCGACTTATGAAATTTTTATTCAACTCGTAAGTTCATGTGCCGTTATCGCAAAAGTGATTTTTTTTAACAATCATCTTTTTGGTGTATAAATATTAAAATGACATCATTGTTTTTGAGTGACATATGAAAGACCCTATACTTGATACCTGTACCTATCAAAGTTATTTAATTTTGGCATGTTATTTTAGAAGTGCATGAATGTAATCTTTCTATATTCAATTCCTTTTATTGGTATCATATTCTTTACTGAAGCTGATCATTCGATGAGTATATCAGTACCGATTAGAGCGGCAGAAGAAGTCGTCAAAATGTTTGATTTTCATCAATTATTAAACTGCCTTTAATATCGAGTCCGTATTCGGTGAAGAATTATCTAATTGCCAATGGTTCTTTTTCAATTCCCCAGCTGGTATTATTATTTGAAGTAGGGATATCGAGTTGACTTCATTAATTTTGAACATGAAGTGCGCGACCTGTTTTTATATATCGCTCTGAATATTAAAGTAGTTATTTTCGACACTGCTCATTCCATTCAAATGATGTAGTTTATCCACGAGTTTCACGCTCGATTTTGAAGGAGTTCTCTTTTTTCAATAACTCTAAAAATTGTTTTTTAGCATACATTGAGTACTTATTACATAAATCAATGAATATAAAAGGAAAATTTTTTAATGGGATGCAGAGGATTTCTTCTTTTTTTCGAATTGCGAACTCGACTTTTTTTATTTACATATTATAAAATAAAGTTGTCTGTATCTTTATTTGACAATCTATCATTAATTTTACTATGCATCACATCACCGGAAATTATACTGGTAAATATGCACTTAAGTACTTTTTGCACCTAAGTAGGGCAATATTTTCTTCCTTGGTAGCATTTTTTTTTAAATTACTTGTAAGATTAAACTAATAAGCTTACTAAGCGTTATTCAACTGTATTAAGAATTACTATGTATATATATAAAGATATGTATACAATCATAGTATATAAAAGTAAATATAAAAATGATAGTGTGTATTTCAAACTAATAAACAATTTGTTTGTTGTATTTGAATTTTAATTAGAATTTAAATATAATTGCAAAAAATTGGTTGATTACATTCGTTTATATCGATGCAATAAAAGGAGAACTGACGGTATCGTCCAGTCTCGAACCTACGATTCCTGTATTACGTTTTCATTTATACATATATATATATATATGTATACATATTGGGTTGGCAACTAAGTGATTACCGGATTTCAAATAAGAAGGAAACGACAAAATCCGCAATCACTTAGTTGCCAACCCAATATATGTATGTATCTAATCTTTATTAACAATATAATAAAAATATACATCTATATATTTAAAAAATTAAGTATATAAAGGTATTTATAGTCTTTGGGTTTAAAAATGTAGTACCTACTTAATTATTGACCTCTATCTACTTATGTAACTGTAGTTTTGGAATTTTTATAATATCTAAGTATATAATATATAGTATAAAAATATCACATCTCTGGTATTACATAATACTAATTATCTTATAACATGTACATGTATAATTTACATGTACTAATTATGTCTTAATTATAGAGAAACAAGTTAGAAAAGTCTACCTACAGGAATTATTTTAAGTACTAAATTAAGTACTAGAGAAATCAGTCTTTATATAAATTAAATATTAATAGTTTGTCATAAAGCAATTTATATTTGTACTCGAAGGAATTGTAGCATCTTATATTAGTAATATTTTTTAGAAATTCATTGTGCTTTAACTGATTTTGATAAAATCTTTCTATTAATCCTTTAATAGAAAGAGTAGAAGATAGAATATTAACCCTTTAATATGTTTATCTATGCATTCAAATTCTGCTTCTTGATGTTGATAAGCTTGGTATGTATTTGTTGACTAATAGTCAATCATTTTCAGATATTTACTTTGTAAGATTTAGAGATGTTTCATATAATTGCGTTATAATAGGTTATATTAAACTAGGTTATGTTAAACTGGTGCTATATATGCTATGATAGATTTCAGTAAGATTTCATATATTAGTTTTTTCTTTTTAACAGAGAGCAGTGAGTTATAGATTAGTCAATATATCTATTTTAGAACAGAGTATACTTTTCTAATTCTTTATTTTATATGCATATGATAAATAAGTTTAGAGTCCAGATGAACTACTGAATGTTGGTGATGTTAAATTTCTCTAAACTGTTATCAACTGAAAGATTTTGATATCTTTCTTTTCTTTTTGCAGGAACTATTATTTCTGTTTTTACTGCATTTACTGATATTTTTCAATGTTTGTAATAAACTTCTAGTTAATATATGTGTTTTGTATTAGTTTTATTGCTATTATTACAGGAAAAGAACATCCATATATAAAACACTCTCACTCTAATTTTTTGTTTGCTAACTTTTCTTCTACTGATACGATTAAATATTTATTATTTAGATATTAGTAAATGAATTTAATAAATATACTATGGTATTTATGTAATATCATTTTATAGAGAATACTATCGATCTATATATATGTTTTCTATGTCTAGTAAAGCCATAATCGTTATTTTGTTGATATTAATTTTAATGATGATTAATAATAGTCGGCTTATTATTTTTGCTATTTGCTGTACTGTGTTATGGTTTTCTCTAAATTCAAACTGTTTATCTATTACAATTTTTTCTTTTTTCTCGAAGTTATTCAGTCTTTTGTATATTACTTTTTCAGTTAACTTGCTTAATGTACAGAGTAATCTAATTGACCTATAACTATTTGTTTCGATCCTTTTTTCTAGGTTTCAGTATTGGAACAATATATCCAATTTTCCAATGTTTGATAAAATAGAATAATTTAGAGGATGCATTAATTATTAATATTATTTTTTTCATGAATTTTTAAAAAATTATATTTTGTATGTTATCTATTTCTGTTTTTCTTGTTGATAGTTTTTTTATTATCTCAATTAATTCTTTTGGATTAGTGAAATATTCATGAGATTTCTCTATTAATATATTGTTGTTATATTTCAACAATATTTTTCACATATATGCTAATAATATTTATATTTCTTATTTCTTTATTTAATTATATAGTCTTTAAGAATATTACTGTTATTGCTATTTTGGTGTTTTCTACTTCTTTGTTTACTGTTTGTTTTACTAACATTTGTTTATCTTTGGTTTTGACTTGTTTTGTAACGTAACAGTGCTTGAATAGTTAATATTATTGCCAGTAGTCGTTCTTGGCTTTTATATTTTGCTTACACTAAGGAATTTGATATAGTTTCTAATGGTGAATTTGATGAATTCCTTAGTATTTTTTTTCTATGTTATGTTGGTGCACAGAATTATTGGTGCCATTCCAGCCTGGTTACATATTTCTTGTATATGGAGGCATTGGTTGGATGAGCTCCATAGTTGAAATATTTTACCGATTATCAATGGTTTCTTATATTTTTTGAAATACTTTTGCACACATTTGCATATAATACTTGACATTTGATATTGAGTTGTTTATTTTAGTTTATATATTCTTTCCAAGTGATCTTGGATTGGACAGTTTATCTAAGCTATTTTAGTTGTATATTTGTAATAAAAGTGACCATAAATAATGGTTGTTTAGTATTTTAGATTAATATTTAGTATATTAGATTAATATTTTGCTGAATCCAGATCTTCCAATTGCTGTTTGATATCTTCATTGATTGCCTTTTTATGTAATCTATGTTCTTCTCTTGATACTTTTATTTGTATACACGTGAAAAAATACATTGCTTTGTTGCGAGATTGATTTCAGTTTTTCGTAATCGTTTTGACTTGCAGTAAATATTTCTGTGAATTCCTAGTGGTATTTAATGTGGAATTCTTTTTTTAATATATTATTTAACATCTTTAAGAATGTAATATGTTCTTTAATTTGTTAATGCTCAATTAATAGAAGTGGTTTTTTTTACATTAATTATTTTTTGGTTTTTTATACTGTCATCCAAATCATCATTGTCGGTTTTATAAACTCGACATTTGAATCACGATCGTATTTGTATGCCATTGCTTAGTATCTGTTTTTGAATATAAAAAGATCTTATCTCCTTATTTTGTATAAATTGTTTTTTCTTTTCCATTTTATCTTCAATGTTTATCGATTTTCTTTTCCAAAATGTTATGGCATTTTTGTCAAAATCTATTGTTAGCTTTATTTTTATGCATAAACTATTCTTGAGAAAATATCATTTTTTGACATGATTTAATTTAAAAAAATATTAATATTATTTGATAAAGGAATATACCAATATATTTATATACTTTAGTAAAATAAATAATTAATAATAACCAATATAAGAGGTGGAAAGGAATAAAGAATTAACCATATGGAAGGTTTTCTAGAGACAAAAGCAAGGAAGAAAACGAATGAGAAAGATAGTAGAAAGAAGAAAGGATTATCAAGCACATATCAAAGTGCTTTGACAACTATGCTTTGACAAAGTATTTTTAATTGCATTGCAAATTTTAGTTTATCATTAGTCATATGACTTTTAGTTGCCATACTCTGCAATTCAATTCCATAAGTCCAGTTCGGTTTAACTACTGTTTTATATATCAGAAATTTGTTATCTATATTTAACTTTGAGTTTTATTTTACTTTGTATGTGGCAGTTTCATGTTATGTGTTACCAAGTATTTTATTATTTCCATTTGAGATGTCATAGTTTAATGTTATCATTAGCAAATATGTACAATGTAATTTGACGTGTAGTAGGAACGTCAATTGTATAAGGAATATAAAGAATAAAATGCCTTTGAAACTTCTGTTTCAATATTGTTTATGTTCGATATTGAACTTTGAATCTTTACAAAGAATGTTCTTTCTAGATATGATTTAATGAGTTTGTAGTATGGTGAAGGAAAGTTTTGCTTTATTTTTGTTAAGAGATTGACGTGCCAGATTGATGTGCCTATGTCTAAAAAATGAAGAGTGCAATATTTCTTTTCCTTGAAAGCGTGAGTGATCTTATTTATTACCCTGTGAATTTGTTCAATAATAATAAATTTATTTCTAAAATCATATTGAAACAGATGAATTAGTTTCATCTATGTTATCTTACAGTAGGTTAAATGAGTTTTGGAGAGGCACGTTCCTTAACAATTTTTCGTTTTTTGTTGCTGAAGTGTTCATTGATAGATTTTTAAGTGGATAGATTTTTTGTTTCTTAGATAAGGTACTATAAAATGGATAATTAATATCTATAGCATTTTTCAGAGTTGTTATATTGTTATTGTCTTATTGATTTTTAATGGTATTGACACACACAAATAGCGATGGTAGTCAATTTGCACGGAGAGTCTTCATCCGTTTCTTCCTAATCATCAAAATTATAGATCCACTGGTTACGAAGAATAAGGGCGGCGGAACAAGTCTAGTATACCAATGAAGGCCGTCAGTAAAATATTGTTCGCCACGTTTCTGCAAATTAATGGAAGAAGACGAATTTTTTTGAAGGATCCCGTAAAGTTTGTGAGGTAGATACACATTAATGAATATAACGTGAATTTAAGTTATCACTTCAATAAAGTATATTTATTGAAGTATGATACAATTGTTATGTAATTATTGTGTAATAACGATTTAGATTGTGCTGGATATCTCTATTTGAGGCATAGTCACTGATATTGTTAAGACTCGGTTGTCTTACTGATGAGTCTGAATGCTTGGATGCGACTGACTAGATTTTTTTTTCGAACTATCAATGAAAATATTAATGTATTAGGAAAGGGAAATGGAAAGAGAGGAATTTAAGTAAAAAGTACCTGGAACAGAAAAGCAATATTCTTATTGGTATTGTGTGCATAGTCCGTTCGAAATGTTTGACCAATCTCATGCGTCGTCCTTTGTCCTGAAGACCGTGTGGATCCATGAGTATTGCATTGATATTTGAAAGGTAGGAGCTAGACAAACCCTTGAGAATCAACGTACGAATACCAATTAGCTTTTATAAAACGATCTATCACCACTGTTCAACTATTTACTTATTTTTATACCTCCATTATTCTGAGAGAAGAGAGAGAGAGCGAGGGAAGAGGAGAGAGAGAGAGAGATTAGGCGTGTCCTTTCTAATCTTTTTTCGCAAGTTCGACGTTCAATCATTAACGCGTATCTTTATGAATGACGAACTTAGAAGATTAAACAGCGATTATTAATAAATATGAATGCAAACATTTTGTGTGTATTTAAATATATATATACACACTTCCATATATGTACATATATGTATATACATACATACATAAATCGCAGTAAAAAAATGATACTCGATTTTTCGATCCTTAACTAAAGAATATAGAACGTTTAGATCTTAGTCAGTTAAAGAAGAAAAAAGAAATAACTAAGAAACAACTGATAATAGGATCGACAAAAATTAAAAGGGCTTTGAAGTATATACTATGTTTATTTTTCTAATTCTCTTATAAAAAAAAGTTATGAAGAAAAAAAAATGCATACGTACACAGATACACGAAGCCACATAAAAAAATCTCTCTTTCGTATTGTTTCCGAATTTTTGAAAAAGCTGTATTTTTTTTTTAAAAATCTTGTTAAAAAATTTTTATTCTTATTTGTATTTTCCGAGAATAGTTCATGCACGAATAAAAACATTTTTCAAAAATTCGGAAACAATACGCGATAGATTAAATCTTCGTTTTTAAAATGAGACCTTGTTCATTAAAATTGGACAAGAATTGTGTCTGTGCTTATTGATGGTGTAAATCATTATAAAGTCAGGGGTAATAAATAATCCTAATTTCAATTTAAAATCAGTTTAAACTAACCTTTAAAATGTATAGTTTTGTACTTTTTCCTCATGCTTTTAAATTTGACAAGGCCGTACTTTGGCCAATATTTTACTGTTTTGTATTTTAGATCACTATTCAACATTAGTTTTTCCTGTAAATGATTATACTCAAGAATTCCTTTGATCGAGGTTGAAATCAGATATATTACTTTGATCGTCTGTTTCACATCTTTCCGTATCATGTTCACAAATATAATCATTTACGTGATCAATAATCCAACATCATTGATTACTGTGTTCTTCAAGAGAAGGAATACGATTATGATCGAGTTATAAATCAAAGAGACTAATTTGATGTAAATGTTAAAACCACATGAAACACAGAAAAAATGGAGCAAGCAGATCTCTTGAAAGTTTTCGAATTCGTTGATGAAAACTTTTTTAGTGTTTAATGCTCTAATTGTTAGTAAATTTTGAAGCGCTGCGTTAATATGATACGGGTGATTAAGCTTTTGGAAATAAGAAGATAATCAATTAATGAGAAAACTTAAACATTAGCATTACACTAATCTACTTATTTCTTTCAAATGTTTAACTTTATAATTGATATAAAAATCTAGAAGAAGCCAATGAGTTTATGCTTCCTATTATTATTATCGTTATCAGTCCAATACTAAGAATTATAAAATAAGACATACTGTATCAAGGACACCAGTATTTTTGAAAAATTTTAAAGAAGGCTAAAAATTTATTGACGTTGAAAAAGAATATTCAATAAATTTATCTATCTGAGATACGACTAAGCATATAATTCTATGAAATATGCTGGCATGCAGTTTTCTGGAAGCGTGTAATCAAACTCTATAGTAAAAAAACATTTATAAAAACCATTGTTTTAAAGTTGTTAGCCCGCTACAGACATAAATTATTTTCATGTAATCCAACGATCCTTTCCATGCAAATAGAGGTCAAATTTGTTTCCTCGATGTTGGCACTACTGATTGCTATTCGTAAAAAAATTAAGAGTATAACCATCAATAGCAACAAAACATTCCTACTCGTCTTGAAATAAAAGACGTAAGGCTTAATAGACCTATGACCTTTACCATATCAACAAGTGCCAATGTTTTCGTAGATAATCCATTTATATTTTTAATTACTATGCCTTTCAAATCTTCGATCTCCCCTCCATACGTGGATTCTTCATTCTTTTCGAGTTCCATTTTCTCTATCATAAATTTGATGAAGCCAACACTGGAAGCTTGGAGACTATTAAAATTCAGATTTCTGTACACCGCTCTAAACTAAGCCATGCAATCATTTGACCTGTACACTATAGAAACTGCAACTAATGCGTCACTAAAATTTTAGTTTTATTTTTCAGATATCTATATATGCAATGCTTAAAATTTCAAATAGATATGATGGAAGAAAAGAAAAAATGTTGAATGATTCCAAAAAAGATAAAAAGATGATACTAAATTAATAGCAGGTAGCAATTAAATAAATCTAGTACAGAACAGAGAGAATTGGAAAGCATTAGATGAAGTTTGTCTTTAGCAATGCAAAATTACAACTTATGAACAAGAAGAAGAATTTCCAACAATAAATAAAGATCCACATCAGCATAGACAGCTCTAGCGAGATTGATAAGAGCACATTGGCCACTGCTCAAACCTATCTCTCTTCCAACGTTGTATCATTATAAAAAAACAAAACAATATTCTCATTCAATTAGCAGGCCTAAATAGTTTGCTTGCAATAAGAATTATCCATGCTACGACCAAAGATTACGTTCTGTCTGATTAAAGAAGCAAATATTCTCTTGAAGTATCATTTGTAGTAAAGTATTTTTTCCACAATATATCTTCTCCACAATTTCTACTAATCTAATGCATACAATTGATTATATTTACACTGCTCTCATAGCTTCACTTTTACAACCGTTACATTATTCAGTATCACTTTATGTGATCTAATCTCTTGAGTCTTTTTCTTTTTTAATCTGTGCATGCATTAATGTCATGAATTTTTTGATATGACGCATTGATACAAGATCTTCAATTAACTGATGAATACCTGATCCATATATGTCATGGAACTTCGAACGAATATTAAGAAATGACGTTATCCTGAAGGCTTACTACAACGTAATTAAAAGTGACAACATACATCAGAATTTATATGAACAAATAGACATATGATACATAACTTTAGTCTAATTTGTTGCACTATGAAGTATTTCTTCATCGTATTTATTTCCTTCCTAAAAGAGTAAAGAATAATTGATGTTGAAATATAATTAAAAAAGAATATTTGACTAAGTAGATGGTAAAGTATTTATATGTAATATTATTTTAAATACACTATAGGACGTATTGATTTTTTAAATAATCATAACCATTGATGAAATGCTTACTTCTTGTTTTCCTTATTTTCGCAGAAAAAGTATTTCCCAGACGTTAATTTCTATGATCTGTACCTTAATGATTTGGTTGTTTATTAAACGTAATCTTTCGTCTGTTCCTTTGGTTAGTAACACTATCAGCTTTGTTTTTTTCATTCCAAAGTACTCTAAAATGATCGGAAATTATTTTGTTCAGTATGATCATTTTCTAGGTTTCTGAAAGAGAAATGTACTCATCTTGAAAAGGAACAAAATTCCAATCTAATTTTTAATAGAGAATATGGGCAATAATCAAGCATTCTTTATGACTCTTAAATTATTTTATTTAATCAACTTATTTGATTATTTCGATAATTTTACGTGTATATCACTATTTATAATTTATAATTATATAATCTATAAATAATAAATTATAATGTATGTTATTTATATAGAAAGAAATGATTGGAGATAAATGTAACAATTTTTAACAATTTAATTTATAACTGTTTATTGTAGGAACTATTTTATATAGGTTTAAAAGCAATTAAAACAAAAGTAAGATGTTATAGTTATTTTTGTTCATTCAATCTTTAAATAAACTTTTAACCTACTTTGTCTCTCATTAAAGACATTAACAAAGGAAAATTAATATTTCTTACCAACTGTTGTTCCACTAAAGAAAAACGGGTTGTACAATTTGAGCCTTTTTTCTGAGCATCTCTCCATAAATTAAAGTGTAACAGGCTATTTTCATTTCCATTTCAAAAAGTAAAAAATTTAGCAAAGATAAATGGAAAATGAAACAATTTATAAAGAGAAATACATTTCTGGATCAACTTCTTATTATTTGTTTAAATAATGTAAGAGATTTTTGAAGCAGACTTCTGTAACAGATTTCTATAAACAATATATCAGAGCAATGTAACAGTTAAGCAATTCTGAAATATAGGAATTATTGTCATATATCAATATAGTTTAAACTTAATTAAAACAAGGTGAGAAATTATTTTTTAATGTGAATATTTAACACCTATCACAATTCATTTTTTTTATGAGAAAAGAAAGAAAAAGATTTATAAAAACGTAATATTCTTTATACATAAGATTAGATTCATTAGATTATTTATTTGATAGAATATATATTAAACTTTATCTGATCTGTTTATAACGCTAAAGCTATATCAATCAACATAATACTTCTTTCAATTTTATCAGATTTTAATGAAGCTATTTTCCAAACGATTACCTGGATTACTTTTTTTTTAATAGTAAATATAGATCAATCTCTAGCAAGTGTCTTTTATATCCAAATAAAAAGTTTAAAATATTTAACCAAAACACAATTTGTGTTTTATAATTAATATTAATTAATAAGAACAACTATTAAAAATAAGTAGTAAAATTAATATAATAATAATAAAATAAAATACCAGCTTCCATTTTAATTAAAAAATTGTTTATATTGTACATCATAATATTTTGAATAGGTTCTTCTCTAGGATCATACAAATATTTGTACAAAACTTTTCTTAGAGGTCTTTTCGATTTATGTATTTTTTTTAATTAATTCCATATATCTTTTTACATTCAGCTTCTCTTGATTATGTTCAATTAGTTCTTTGATATAGATAATAGCATCAATGATAATACATTTATTTGTCTTACTTGTTAATTCAAATTGGTTTCTTCATCTTGAATTATAATTTCATCAGATCATTATAAATCAGTTTTTCCATTTTTGAAATTCCATTATTCATGATTTGATTCGTTTAGATTCTTGATATATTGGATATTCTCAGTTAAATTCATGTTTAGAGGTTAGTTTTAAATTAATGTATATCATTTACTTATATTGTTTCTAGGTTCAAAATCTTGTTAGAAGATTCAGTAAATGATACAAATAAGATACGATATGATATATAATAAGCATTTATTACACTAATTAAAGTCAACATGAAAACAAGCTACATATAATCATAAGTACTGGAGGAAGAAATCTAAGAAACAGAAAGCAGAGTCTATGACAGAAAAAATTAGGGCGCTTTGATCACTTTCACAGTAAATACAATTTTTGACAAATATTAATATAAATAATATTTAATTAAGATATTTAGATATTATTTATATCTTATTTACATATTTTTACAATAAATCATTAATAATTATTAATATAAATTAATATACTTATTAAGGCTATTCATTATCCCTGGTATTTTAATTGTTTACGGCATCAATAAGATCAGGCATAATTCTTGATCGATTTTAATGAACAAAGTCTCATTTTAAAGATAAAGGTTTAATCTACGGCGCTATTTAGGGGGGAATTTTTAAAAAGCTTCATTTTCTTTGAAAAAATCGTGTTAAAAAATGGTATTTTTTCAAGAATTGTTTATGTACAAATAAAAAGCTTTTTCAAAAGCCCGCTGAAAAGACACCGTAGATTAAACCTTCGTCTTTAAAATGAGACCTTGTTCATCAAAATTGGTCGAGTATTACTTCTATTCTTCCTGATAGTGAAATGAATGAAATACTGTTTTCGATATTTTTCGTGAAGGAAACGTTTAGTACTGTGACGCCTCTCGAAATTTGTGGCAAAAGAGATGAAGCTCATACCCTCACTACTGACTTTCATATCACGCTTGAATGATGTATGTTTATGTCCGTGAAGTAGCGATAGCTGCTTGGTTGTGTGCATAAATAGCTGATGCTCAGATTTTTTGAACTTTTCCAAATGCAAAGAAATAGGTTTCGCGATGTTTGCACGAAGAAACTACGGTAACAACTCACTCGATCAATTTAATGAGGTTTGGCCAGATAATTCTATAGCAAAAGTAAGGAAATACAATTAACTACAAATAAGATAAAAACACGAGTTCCTTTCCATATTATCTACGAGATTTTTCTCCCAATGCTATTTTGTTATGCTTTTCTCTGTAGAAATTCACTTCATATTATCACTATTATTACTATTATTACTATAATAATAATATGTAATATAATAATATAATAATATGAAGAGTAATAAGAAGAAACAGAAGAATATACTTATATTATATACATCATGACATATATGATCACGGTAATTTATGATAACAAAAGAAGAAAAAATATATCAATTTACGTAGTGGTTGATGCGCAAATTCTCAACAAATCGTGTCCTTGATAATTTCGATACATGACAGTCCATCTAATACAAACGACATATAAAAAAAGTACGAAACGTTTCTTTTCTTTTCGTTCGCTATTGTTTTCCTTTGTCTTCCCACTTTATGATTGTAATGCATTTGTTATTTCTTGATCATGATCAGTAGAAGCTAATTGTCTTTACTATTATAATATAAAATATATTATATATCTAGATGTATATAAATAATATTTAACACTTTAGCGAACGCTAGCGGTTCAACAGCATACGCACGTCCGACCAGCCGCTCAGCCGCAGATTTTCCCTGGCGCCGGCTGTTTTTCGGTCTAGATCATCGCACGGGAGTGTCTGTGCGTTTCGTATGTTCAGATAGAATTGTCCGCTTTCTGTTATTATAAGATATATTATAGGATAATTAGATTTAATAAAACGGTTTATTTTCAAGATATTAATGATAAATTACATTTATTTTATCTATTATAATGGCTTTCAGTTTAATAATTATGTAATAATACCATAATCTATATATTAACATACTTGAAATAAGAAATAATTAATATTTTTTCAAGGTATGATACCGTTCAAAACAACTAACTTTATATAGTGGAACATTGCAAAATTTGCAAACAAAACATGTCCTACTTCTTTTTTTTTTGAACAGCACAAACTCTACATTGTTTTCGGGGTCTCACACTTCGACTGCTAGTTACTATATTTATAAGTTTATGTTTTCCAAAATTCGAGAGTCTTCCGGGATTGTCTAATTTGGGTGCTCTCCTTGTGGGTGTAGAACTGGGTATATCGTCATCTTGTTTCATACAAT